CGCCCCCGCATACCTTTGTCCTTGGTGAACGAAGCTGCTTCCGTCGGTAAACCAGATGGCATCTGCGTCCGATAATGGCTGATCCTGCAAGTCTTCCCAGACCCCATAAACTTGAGCCAGTATGTCGGCGCAGTCATGAAGTGGGGTTCCCATGTCTGGGTCTGGCAGCAGTGATGCTGGATTCAGGGCCGTTGGGGGGGTGAAGACGACCCTGAGGGGGTTCAACAGCAGTCCCTGGTAATGAGTGAGTCGGGCATTGCTTAGCCATCGGTCAGGCGGCTGCTTGAGGATGCCCTCGATGGCATGCGGGGTGGTGACTTGTAGCTCTTGGCCCATGGTCAGCTTATCAGCGTCCTTTACCATTAGGGCAGTGGCTGCAGTCGTCCGGAGACAGGGTGGCCATCCGGCGGCCACTGGATCTAGCTTTTTAGACAGATAGGCTACTGGCCTGCGCCAAGGGCCCAAATGCTGGGTTAGCACCGCCTTGGCTATGCCCCGGTTTTCATCTACATATAGGTGGAAGGGTTTGGAGACATCGGGGAGTCCCAGGGCAGGTGCTGATAGCAGGGCAGTTTTGATTTGTTGGAAGGCCTGTTCGGCTTCTTCCATCCAACTAAAGGGCTGTTGATCTTTTGTTGCCTGGTATAAAGGTTTTGCTAATTCAGCAAACCCTGGTATCCATAGTCTGCAGAACCCAGCCGACCCTAGGAATTCCCTCACCTGTCGTGGTGTCTGCGGTCTGGGAATACGAAGGACAGTCTCCTTCCGGGCATCCGTTAGCCAGCGTTGCCCCCCTCTCAGTAAGTAACCCAGGTAAGTTACCTCTGACTTGCAGATTTGAGCCTTCTTTGCTGAGGTGCGGTAGCCTAAGGTTCCCAGAGTTCCCAGGAGAACTTCGGTTCCCTGGATGCAGGTTTCGGGTGTCTCGGCAGCTATTAAAAGATCATCAACATACTGTAGGAGAGTTATATTAGGGTGTTGTTGTCTGTACTCACTTAAATCTTCGTGTAGAGCCTCGTTGAACAGGGTCGGAGAGTTCTTGATTCCTTGTGGCAGTCTGGTCCAAGTGAGCTGGCCATTTATGCCCCTGTCTGGATCTGTCCACTCGAATGCAAATAGCTCTTGACTTTCAGGCGTTAGTGGTAGGCTGAAAAAAGCATCTTTTAGATCCAGAACAGTATACCATTGTTTTTCTGGGCTGAGGGTGCTCAGGAGAGTATAGGGGTTAGGAACGGTTGGATGTATGTCCATCACCCGCTTATTGACTTCTCTCAGGTCCTGCACTGGTCTGTATTCCCCGCTATTGGGTTTGCGCATGGGCAGCAGGGGGGTAGTCCATGCTGAGTGGCAGGTGCCTAGGACCCCGAAGTCAAGGAGGCAGCGGATGTGCGGTGTGATGCCATCTTTGGCTTCCGTGGGCATAGGGTATTGGCGCATGCGGACGGGGTCCGTCCCGGGCTTAACTTCTATAAATAGGGTTGGGCGATGTTTTGCTAACCGGTGTTTTGTCCGGTGGCCCCTTGTACCCAGGATGATTTTTCAGATACTTTTCCATGGGGCTTGACCAGAACTGAGTGCTGTGCCCTGGTATCAACTAGGAACTGGACCAGGGTCCCCTCCACTTGCAATGTTACCCTAGGTTCGGGGAGGGGATGATCCGAACCCTGTCCTCCCTCTTCTGTATCTTGGGTAAGCAGTATGGGGGCTATTTTAGGTTGCCATTGCTTTTGGCTGGGGTGGGGTTGTTTCTTCCTGGGGCATTCTCGTATCCAATGGCCTTTCTCTTTACAATAGGCGCATTGATCTTTAAGTGTCGCCTTGGAGGGCGCATTGTTTGAATGCCTTCTGGGGGTGGCTGTTCTTTCTGGACTATAGCGGCCAGGACTTTAGTCATTTTCTCTGTGGCTTTGATCTGTCTCTCTTCTGGGGCGTCCCTGTTGTTGTAGACCCGTTGTGCTATACAGAGTAGATCCTGGATCTGTTTACCTTCTAAATCCTCTAGCCTTTGGAGTT